GGAGAGGAGCCTTATGAGGTTCAGCAACCTCTCTCTCTCTTTCTGGCAATGAGCATATTGGGAAAGTATTTATTAGTTAATATTCAAAACTCCACTGAGTATGACCCTGAAAAATTGGGCATTATCACAGGATCACAAAATTGCAAGGGTTGGAAGGGACTTCTGGACTTAAGTCCAAACGCCTGCTAAAGCACATTGCCTACAGTAGATCACACAAGTCTTGGAACTGGTCTTCTGAGCATGTGTTTTTAATACGACTGTGACTTTGAGAAGCTTCTTTCCACTTAAATTGTCACAGAATGTGGCTGTGGCAAAGTGGAGATCAGCTTCTTCTCCCAGGTCAAAATGTCAGGGCAATAGGTAAGAAGGACAGGTGTAGTGTAACACCTGGGATGGCATCACCTCACACCTCAGTACAGGGTAGAGGCTTCTGGAAAGGAGCTCTGTGGAGAAGGTGTCCTGGTGGACGAGAGCTTGGCCATGAGCCAGAGATGTGCCCTTGTGGCCAAGAAAAAGGCTGGCGGTATCTGGGGGGCATCAAAAAGAACATGGCCAGCAGGACAAGGAAGGTTACCCCCCTCTCCACTCTGCCTCGGTGAGGCCACTTGTGGAGTACTGTGTCCAGTTCCGGGCTCTCCAGTTCAGAAAAAACAGACATAGAGGTGTTCTAGAGAGAATGCAATGAAGGTCTGCAAAGTTGATTAGGAGCCTGGAGTATCCCCTGCACAAGGAAAGGCTGAGAGACGTGGGACTGTTCAGACTTGAGAAGAGAAGGCTGAGAAGGGATCTCATCACAGTTCATAAGTATCTCAAATTCTAGAGCCAAAAGGATGGTGCCAGGCTCTTTTCAGTGGGGTACAGTGCCAGGACAAGGGACAGTGATCACAAACTGGACCACAGGAAGTTCCATACAAACATGAGGAAGAACTTCTTTACTGTGAGGGTGATAGAGCACTGGTACAGGCTGGTCCAGAGAGGTTGTGGAGTCTCCTCCTCTAGAGGCACTCCAAATCCATCTGGATAATGTCTTGCTTAACTTACTGTGGGAACCTGAACCTGCTTTTGTCGGGCGGCTTGGACTTGATGGCATCCCGAGAGGTTCCTTCAAAGTCCTACGAGTCTGTGATTCTTTGGTATTCATCAGCAGCGATTTAGTGCAAGTTTCCATAGTTTTTGCACTGTTCTTTGTGTGTGTGTGTGTGTGTGTGTGTGTAAAGCAGGAATCATGTATTTAGAAGAAGATGTCTGAAAGTTACATGTTGCTGTGTACTCTTGTGAGGCCCTATGCAAGCTTCCCAGTGTGGAGTCTGGCGGGTGAGGGGGCTTCCAGGACAGCTCAAAGAGCAGCCTCTTCTCCTTGTGATGAATCTCATGATAGTGGATAATGCTTCTTGCAGTCATGCAGAAGCCTGAGAGCCTCATTTGCTCTAATAGATAAGTGAACAGAAAACACAACAGCTACTTCTTCTACACTGTTGTACAGAGGAAAGGAAAGGCAAGATCTAAGGAAGCCTGATGATAAGTAAATTCAGTATCTTATAAAAGCAGACAAAATTAGATTGAAGAAAGCCTGTAAGCTCACAAATCAACATCGGTAATTTTGCTTGTTTTTAAGTTTGAAAGTTTTTAAGTACTGTCTGTACTTTTTTAAGCATGCTGCAATGACTTCTTGTCCCTTAGCCTAATTTGCAAGTGATTTTAAGTAGTTCAGTACAAAATTACACTGAATCATGTATGGAAGGTATGAAAATGTTCAAGTACTTTTATCAGTTCAGCTCTGCTCTTTATGTTGCTGATTAACTGAGATTTGAATTAATAGTATTTTGAAATTGTAGTTGCGCTAGATTATTAGATGTTCATTCCTATACTGTGGTTCAAATAGTTCTTTATACTTGAACGGATGCTACTTCAGAGTATAAGAACTGCTGACATAATTAGTGTCCTCCTAAATAATGTAAAACAAATCACATTTCTATTGCTTTTAATTAGTGAGTTTTTATATGGGTTTGTGTTCTTTCTTTGATGGACTTTAGAAAGAAATGAACGGTGTTCTTAAGCATTCGGAACACACAGAATGCATGTTCTGTTTAGATCCTAATGCTTTGTGGATGCCTGCAGGGGTTTTTCCAAGCCTGAAAAATATTGTTATTTTTCATTTAGCTTCAGCCTGTGAAAAAGGAATAGTTTGGAAATCACTATCTGCACACACTGAGGTTTTTCTGATGACGTGGTAAGGTATTGCAGGATCTGCTCTTGCCAGATTTTTTGATTAAACAGGAAAGAGGTGTACAGTTTAGTCTTCAGAGCTGATACACTGAAATCCGAGGTCATGTAAGTATCATGAAGTGACATCAGTCAGTGAGTGAGAGGCTGTATTGCTTGGTTTTGAAAAGGGGTGAGAAAAAATCTGTGGTCTCGTTTGATTAACACAATTGATTACAGTACTGTTTGAGGCCTAGTTTTTTCTCATCTTCTGCCTTAACACATCATTATCCTGTTCGTTATCTGCTGGCTTGCACGCCACACTGTCAGTGAGCAGTCGTTATACTGCTAACCCACACTGATTAGAAAACAATGATCTCCCTTTCAGGACTTTTGTGTGTGTGTGTGTGTGTCTGTAATAGTGTGGAATAGCTAGAGGCCTATTTCTTCCTCTTACCTTTTTTTAAATACCAGAACGGAAGTCCTCTTGTCAGGACTTTCAGCACTGCACTACAGCAGTTCTATATATTCAACAGAGATAGTTACATTAAATTTCTCTGATTTTGTGGAAGACCAACTGTTACTACTGTTTTTTCTTTATGCTGTAGTCCAGTTTGCATATGAGCTGGTGACAGCCTCAAATTGTTCGATTCACACTTGTGACCAGAGTGTTTCTTTTATTTAATTACTGACATAGCTAGCTCAGTCTGATTTGTTGGTGGTGTGTGTTCTTAAAATAATTGGATAATTTTTTTTTTGTTTCCATCAATACTTTACTAGTGCAGGAAATTTCCATAAAGTTTTCTTTTCTATGCGGTTGACAAAGTTGATGGCATTTAAGGATTTAAACATCTATAAACTAGAAGTGACTGTATTTGAAAGAAGAGGATATTTCTAAGAAAAACAAAACAGCCCCCTCCCCCTCCACTTTTCAGTTTTTTTTTTTTTGCACAAGTTCATTGTTCACATTCTTCATGGAATTTTAAAATTCAAATGTGTGCATTTCTAAATTTTAAAGGAGGACACTCAGAACTTTAAAAAAAGGTTTTCAGGGTTGCCTCATAAAGTATTTACAATCATTTATTCTAGTTCTTATGTAATCATTATTAATTTTTTAATTATAATTTTATTTGTCTAGTATGATATTACTGTTGATTTAATAACTTAGACTCAATACACTGATAAATCCTGATTGAAATTATCTTGGCTTTAGAGATGTCTTTTGATTTCATCTTGTAGGTATTTGTCTTGTTTTGAAGGAAGAGAAACGTTATGTTGGACCAGCTGTCATGTGCTGGATCTAATATTGCTTGTAAAGTTTAAGTCTGCTTCCCAGAAGGAAAGGCTGATTGGGAACAAATGGAAAGAAAACATAGCAAAAGTATAAAGTGCAGTTTCTATTCCTGAGATTGACTCTAATTTAGTCATACAATGTGTGGTTTTCATTAACTCTTGTGAGGTCAAACCTGTAGTTCTGTTACACTGTTGTATGTCTTACATGACCATTGCTTTTAGCTGTTTCTAGTCATGGACAGAGTAATCTGAGAAAAGGAACAATCTGTTCATGTCCATAAAAAGTGAGAAAATGATTGAAGAGGAAATTAAGTGAGAAAACTATAATGAAGCCAAATGGTGGAGGTAAAGAGAGGAAGTCAAGTCTTCTGTTTTAGATGTTAATAAAGTTTAAGATTTTTTTTTTTTTTTTTTCAGAGAAAAGCTGTGTTATTTATCTATTCTAGATTATTTCAGTGAGTTTCTTGCTAACAAATTAAATCTTTATTTTAGCATGCTCTTAGGTTCTGGAAGCTAGGTAGAAAAGGAAAGCAGGGAAATTGCAATAGCCATCGGAGTGGTGATTTTCCTTTCATGTCATAGATTTTTTTTATGCACATTCCACTTTTTTTTAAGATTAAAAGCTAATAAAAGTAGCCTAAATTGCATCCTTGTGATTTTTTTAATCTGGCTGGCAGTTTGACAGTTTTGATTTATTAATTTTTAATTTGTTGATAGCCTGTGTTCAGTAGACTTGATATTAGTCCAGTGCATGGTTTATGTACATATGCTTTGCTTGCTCTATTCTCCTTGACTTCAACATTGCTGGTTTTTGTCTTATATTTATAGAGTTAACAAAACATGATTTTAATTTTTGACTGCGTCAATATTGGCACTTCCAGTAATACTATTGTATTGTAATAAAAATACAATACGAAATAACCATGCAAAATAACATGTTATGTGTAGTGAAAAATAGAAATCTGGAAAAGATATTAGCTTACCTTTGATTCTCACAAACTTTCTTCATTGCATTTTTTTAAAAGCACTTTTTTCTCTCTTTTATATAAGAATCTTTTCTGAAGCTTTTATGTGATGCAAGTTAGAACATTTGTTAGGCTTATGCTGTCTGCTTTGAAACAAATCTAGGAGCTGTGCATAACAGAATTTAATGTTGAATTATGTATTCTATGTGTATTGTAAACTGAACATATATCGATAGATGTATACTACTAGACATTCTTGAAGTTTATATACCAGAAGGCAATTTTGATTGAATAATATTATTTTTTGCTGCTATATGTCACATTGCACACTCTTTTATAGTTGATCAAAAAAAATCTACATTGTTAAAACTGTTTATTTAAGAACTGCTTAGTATGTTTTTAGTCTCAAGATATGGTAATTCTTACTATAATAGAGAGTTTTTTTAATAGTTGTCTTCTCTATGTTCTCAAGTTGTCTTTTTGGTTACAAGAGATATAGTCCATACTAATTCTATTTATGTCTTTTTTCTTCTTTTTAAGGCTGATAAAGAATTTGTGTGGTCTCTTTGGAAACGTCTCCAAGTGTCAAATCCAGACCTTACGCAAGCTATCAGTTTAGCTGTGGAAAGGTGAGTTTAAACATCTAACATTTTTTAAAAACAAACAAAACTGCTGATACTACATTCATGTTTTTAATTGAGAAAAAAAGCGTGATTTAAAAAATGTTACATATGCTATACCTATGTGCATATCTATTATTGAACTGTGTCAAATGTACTCAGAACATGTTGCTAGTTTCCTTTTTTGTGTTGGGACGTTTATCTGCAGAGAAGAAGCTCAGTTATTAGGATAGTGTTTACATACTACTTTCGCATTGCTTGTGTATTTTGATTTGGGAAGTTATTTAAGTGTATTTAAGATGATTTAGGAACAGATTTACTGTTTGTCATCATGTTAAAACACTTACTCTAACCTATTTGTTTTAGGATGAAATTTGATTATATGCGGTTGCGGTGGTAGTTTTACTGTTCTTTCTCCAGATATAAAAAGACAAAACATTTGTTTTACTTAACAAATTTTATAGATAGATGAAAAATATGGAAAATTTTAGCTCATTGAAATAAAGCTTAATAAGCTATAAGAAGGTTTTCAGGCTTAGTAACATTTTTGTTTTGTATTCCATCTAAAAAAAAATAGGATATTAGGAAAAGTAAAGCACAGAGATACTGGCATGTATTTAAACAATGTTGAATGTAGTGAATTACTTGTGCCTCTGCATAGTTTATAAAATTCAAGGCTTCCTTCCTTAATTTTTCATCTTCATGTCCAGGAATATGTTTTGTTATTAACCTTTGCTTTAAATTATCACAAAAATTGATTCTGAGTGTATTATGCTCAATGTTTTTACTAGGGTGGAAAACATTTGTGGTAGCCTTTTTAACTTGTAGCTTAGCATACCACAAGATAACGAAAGTAGATCGCTGCAGTAATCTTTTCTATAATAGTCTATTTCATATGAGAGTAAAAAGTAATATACCCTGTATAGATACTTTGAGTTTTTTATGTAGAAGTTGGTGACTCGTACCAATCACCAACTTCTACATAAATTAAGGAAGCATGACAACATGTTCTTATTAAGGTTTTTGCTTATATCCTCTCTTCTTTCAGAAGAGTACTATCAATTCAGAACACATCACAGGAACTCAAAGCTATATAACTGTATTGTATAATTCTCCTCTCAAGAGTTATGCATTTAAGAAGGAAGAAATTAGTTCCCTAACACCTTTTTAGGTGATAGCTTTACCAAAGAGAATCTTGGAATAGGTCTGTATAGAACCTATTCAGTATACAAGAGTATCATTAATGTTGACTTAAACTTTGGATTTACTTTGATTTGACAGATGGAGCAATATCATGTTTGTTTGTTTTTTGTTGTTTTTTTTTTCCTGTTGATGTAGCTTCTCTTTCACCTCAGAATGGTTTAACTGCTTCATTGGAACACATTTTTAGTGAATCTGAAGATTCACTTTACTTGTGAATCTTCTGCACAACCAAATTACAGCCCCGCATATTCTGTTAACTTTTTCAGTTATAGCTTTCCATAATCTTTTCTGAAGATTTTCACACTCTTCTGTTTCATGAACTTCATACTCTTCTTTCAGGAAAAATTTGTCTTCTTCCATGCCTTACAGTATAATGTATAGTTGTATCATGACAGTTTTATCTCAATTCAGAAATGTTAATGAAATATCTGGGTAATTTATAATCAGCACAGTGTTTGGTCAGGAAATTTTAGCTTTCTGACTTTGTTAATTTAGCCAAGATAAGTGGTTTTAAAGGGGAGAGAGTTGGGATTATTAAGTAATGGTTATAAGCAAAATGATTTCTAAAGCAGATCACTCAGCTCAAAGCCTTTTCTGTGTACCACTTAGTTTTGTAAGTTAAGATGTTAAGTATAACATCAGGCTTTGGCCTCAGTGATACTTCTGGATCCCTTCCAACTCAAGATGTGCATGTGTTTCTGTGATTATATCTGATAAAAACAGAAACGACAACAAAAACAAAAACCAGCTCAACTCTTCTTTAACTCATCTGTATTAGGAACAAAACCGATCCTTTTGTTAATGCTTTCCAACTTGATTTCCATCTATTATTGACTTAAGTGATTTTTGAAGTAGATAAAAACAGAATGAAATGGATTTAGAACTTTTGCTGTCTCTGCTTGGGATTATAACGTGAATATTGCAAATGTTTGTGTAACTTCATTTTTCAGTGTGTTCTGTCTATTGAAAATTCAATCACCAACAAGCTTTCAGTGCCAGCTTCTTAGCTGATCTTCTGAGATCAGAAACACAGAATGGTAGCTGGTATGCAGTGGGGAGCACGTCTGGCTGCCTTACTCAGTTGTGATGATTTACCTGTTGGCGTTGATTTTTCCTTCTCAGTCTGCAGAACCGTGGAGGGGTTCTGCAGAGACACCTCAGGCTTTGAGGCAGGCCTTTCCTTCTTAGTCTTTGTTGTGGCAGTTTGCCATTTCTCATCACTTTTTCTTTGCCTCTGACTGGATGTGCTGGTGGGGGAGTTTGGGGCTGTTTGGCCCTGGGCTGTGGATTTAATGCGGGTTGTGTGTGAATCCAGCTGTCTCTCCTCACTGCTGCCCTCCCTGCAGCTCAGTTATCTCTTGCAGGAGATCCTCCGCCTTGGCACATCTTATGCAGGTGAGTTTGCCATTCTCCTCTACTCCAGGAGCAAGGGCCAGGCACTTCCCACAGACCACCATCTGCACAGATGCTTCTTCCTTTAGTAGCTCTTTATGGATGGAGGCATTGGTCATGACCTGGGTAGATGGTGTATATCACCCTGCTACAGCTGCAGCCTTAGCTTGATGTTGAGTGCTTCTGCTTCAAGACTCTTGTGGAATGAGTGCCCCTCACTTCTGCAGCTGGTAGAACCTGAGTGCCCTGCTGTGTGAGCCACTGCCACATGTGATGCTCATGCTCTGTTTACCTGCCTTGTGCTTGGTTGGTAGCAACTCATCCCTGAGTTTCTTTGAGGGATGTGGGTATGGTCTCAATTGGCCCTGGCAATGCCCACACTACATCAGCCTCTCTCACAAGAGCTTCCCTTTTTGTAGGATTGCTCCCCTTTCTAGGTGTTTCCCAGACAAGGGAAACCCTTGCAGCCTCCCTGTACCTTGAGATTTGTTGCTCTGGTTCAGGCCAGGATTGTTCTGAAGCAGCTGGTCTTGATGACTGAGCCTGCTACCTACTGGAAATAATCATACTCTAAGAAAGTGTAGTCTTTCTGTTTCTAAGATCACATGTAATTAATCTGTCAGTTTTGTTGCATGGATTTCATTCTTCAAGTTAGTGAAATCAGCAGCCAGACTTCCTTCAGGAGACTACACTAACAAGAGTAAGAACATGTAACAGTGAAAGGACAAAGTGTTAACTTAAAACCTTGTACGCCACAGGTGTGTAATGAAGAAAGAAAAAAATAATGTATGTAGACTGTTCCAAAAGTAATGCCTTCTCTTTTATTATGTTGACCCATGACACCAGAGGTAGATGTTGGTGGTTTGGCAGTAGAGGCTGAGCCTTCCCACCGATACTGTTACCTCTTGTTGCTGTGTGACAGATGGCCGCAGAGGGGCAGTCTAAAACAATGTCTGACGTGGAAGTGCATGCGAAGCAAAGTTGTGGAATTCCTCCATGCAGGAAAAATGGCACTCAGTGGCATTCATCGATGCTTGCTGAGCATTTATGGAGCCCAGTGGATGTGAGGTGGAAGGTGATAATTTTCTGCAATGGTGACAGAGGTAGTGGGTCACCTCTGCTGGTGCAGATTGTTATCAGTGTAGCTTGCAAGCTCTTGTTCAGTGGTCATGAAGATGCATAGTTTGTGGTGACTATGTTGACAAATTGTGTTTTGTAGCTGCGAATTTGTTCTGTCGAATAGCATTGTTGTGCTCCTTCTATTTGTTGTAGTTTCCATGCAAATAAACAGGAGGCTTTACTTTTGGGGCAGCCTACATGTTGGCAATACTAGCTGCATAGTCAAGTGAATTTTATTAGTGACATTAATTTATATTTGTAACATTAAACTATTCCTTATATTATCCTTTTCTGAAATAAACAAAAAAGTTTAGAAGGCATAATTTGGGGGATATAGGAGGGAATTAACAGTAGCTTTCCATTATTTGTGTGCTATCTTGAAGTGATTTCATGATCCTAAAATAGAAGTTAACCTACCCTAAAACAGTAAAAATGTAACTGGTGCCTTTTTATTTATGTGCTGTTGATTCTTACAATACACCAATGATGTTCTGCTTTTCAGCAGTCTTTGCAGTTCTTGCTGGGTAACTGTAACTATATTCCCATTTTAATATTCAGATATAAACAAAAAATTATCTTTACTGTGCAAATGAGAAATGCCTTTGGGATATGTAAAAGCCTCCAGGTATTCTCGAACAAGCCATTGTAAAAGTACATCTCATGTTAGTATACTTTCCAGCTACTTTAAATACTATTGATCTCGGTATTATGTAAAGAGCATGCTATTTCTGGCTCATTGCCTTTTGAAATATTCACTTTTTTGATGATGAATTTTTTTAAAAAAGGTTGCTTAACAGTACCCTTTACAGGTAAGTACATATATAAACTCAGAATTGAAGATCAGATAAGAGTATCAAATGGTTTAAAACATTGTGGTAAACTTTCAGAGACCTCAGTAAGACTTTCATGTTACACGAAATCTTGATAGGTCAATTGATTCTGATTTTCCTCTGGGACATCTGACTGCCTTTCTCCTGAAAGGTGGAGTCAGACTGTGGCAGTGATACAAAACTTGGTAGATGTTGATGGAGATTGTATTACACTGGATGATATCATTGCTTTAGCTATGTTTTCCTACACCTATTCCTAGTGTGCTGTCTTGCAAGATTTCAGCGAAGAGTGGGAATGAATATAATGTTTGATGTCATTATGGCAGCCTAACATTATTATTCCAGTAATGGATAGAATTTCATTGTTCTTGCTGGGATATTACGTCTTTCTAAAGGTGAAGAAAACAGGGCTGAAGAGCAAGTGGTCAGAAATATCCATAGAAATTTTTTGGAAGGGCTATCAAA